CAACTCATATAAGGTTATGTATTGGTATAATTACTGAAATGGCATTATAGAAACATTTAATTGAAGTGTGATTTTTATTGTGCAATTAACACACAAACATATTAATACGTTGTGTAGTTAACATGTTGCTATAACTAATCGTTGGAGAATATTCCTTTGTCTGAAACAACCTATGTCTGCTCTTGGGCGATTTGCAACTGACATCTATAGGAGTCTTGCAATTAGAATATATTATTATTAGTTTTGCCATATTTGATGACTATTTCTTTCCAATGTACTATAATTTGTCCAATGAAAAATTCTTTCTAACCATAGGCACCAAACACCTGCGCGATGTACGAGCACTCCCCTATTAGTATTAGTTACCAAATTCATTTTTGTCTGTTGATTGTTATTAGAGGTGTCAAAATGAAATGTTTGATCAGGTAGGTTTGAATCGGTCATAAATGAGTAATAGATATAATTGGATAAACCCATTTATGCTCATTTAATAAATGGATCAAAATGAATTAACTCATTTATACCTATTTAATAAATAGGTATGGATATATTCAAGTATCCATTTATGGTCTACTTGAAATTCTATTTGCTCTTTTTTTTTTGTTTTAGATTTTTTAACAAGAAATAATGACATTTTATTGTTATTGGATTGGTAAGAAATTTAAATTTATTAGCTTAACATCCACCAAAAATTGAGTTTAAATGTGCAATTATTTTTAAATGAGTATAAATGGGTAATGTGAATCCATCCATTGACCATCAATTAAATGGGTCTAAATGAGTTACTTATCTAAATCCATTCAAAATTTATTATATTAATGAGCAAATCCACATGATTGGATTGTGATTGATACCTTTAATTGTCACTGTTTTTTTGGGCTTTTTGAGCTCCTTTATTTTTTTCCTACAAGATACTAAGCAAAAATCCAAAATGAGGAGCACAATTTAAAGCCCCTTCCTTTCTTTATTGCATTCCCCCAATCCCCTCCTCTTGTTAAATAAATAAAACAACGCTTTATCACTTGCAGACATTTAATTTACAATGAACATAGGATATGCGTGGAGTGTGCAGAAACCGATATTTTAAACGTTTTACTAATTAAACTCCAAATTAAAAAAAAAAAGACTAACTCATGGACTCAATTTAATGAGTCCAACACTTGTTAAACAAACCCACAGTTAATATTAAACTAAGAATAAAGACTAATCAATTTTGATGCTATTGAAAAAAGGCCTAAAAGTCCAAAATTTATATGCTATTGAAAGAGAGGCATAAAGAATGTTAAACTACCAGAACAAATCACATATAGTAACTAGTAAGTTCAAGTAAATGTCAAATTAATTAAAAGAGTAAATCCCAAAGCAAATTCCGTACTATGACTACTTCTTCCCCCTTATCTTCATTTCGAATGCTCCTACTATCATCATATGTGTATTTAGAATTCTAGATTTTCTTTAGCTTATTATTTCATCTAATATATATATATGCTATTCTTATCTATTAATAATTGGTTAATCTTGATTACACATTCTAACTTGTTTGTATGTCCTTTGATAATTTAATTGAAACGTAAAAATGTATCAATCTAGAGCTGTGGTGAACTATAAATAGCGACAATAACAAATAATGAAACAATAGTAAAACTAAATGAACGATTAGAATAACACAAATAATAATAATATTATAGTAGAGAGAAGGAAATGACAGAATGAGATGAGGGAGAAAACAAAATGATAAAAGTACAAATTCACGGTCACTTACCACCCAAAGGCATATAAAATTATTATACCATCATTGTAGATAAAAAATAAATAAATAAAACACGTATTAAAAGAGTTAATTTTATATACACTACTAGTGTAAACACTGTACACTATCACAATTAGATATATGACATATATATATATGTATATATATAATTTGGATTTCAAATTCAAATTCAGATTTGTTATCATATATCTAATAGTGATAGTGTATACACTTTTAATGTATAAAATATTAATTCTAATGAAATGAGGGCAAAATATGGATAAAATGAATTGGGTAAATCTTTTATGTACTGTTAGTGAGAGGTTTAAATACATGTCATATATGCAAAATTTAGTGTTCATTATAAATTAAATGACGTGACATGCATCTAAACCCATATACGCTGACATTGTAAGAAAAATTAATCCAAATGAATTTAAGGAAGAAACTAAAACATATCTCTAATGATTCATGTAATTAAGCCCTAGTAGTAATGAGGTGAGCCCACTTGAATACGTTATCAGTGTATAAAATATTAATGCTAATTAAAAAATGGCAAACTATTGATAAAATTAATTAGATAAATCTTTTATACACTATTAATGTATACACATGCGAGTTCAAATGCATGTCGTATATGCAAATTTTGGTGTTCAAGTAAAAATTAGAAAATGAATTTACGGAAGAAAGTAAAACATACATCTAATGATTGACGTAATTAAGCTCTGGTAGTAGTCAAGTGAGCCCACTAGCTTCATGGGCTTAGGCCTGCAAGGGGGACAACTGATGATGTGCTTGACCATCATGGGAATCAATAGACCATAAGGCAAATGCAATCTATTCTAAAATTTTCTCTTGGGACTTGTAAGGCTTTATTTTGTCTTGGGATAATTTCAGAAACCTCTCCTAAGGTTTCTAACTATTTCATTAGCCTCCCTCCAAATTTTAAAAATTATGCTAAATTTCCTTGAGTTTAATTATCTTGTAACATTTAGACCCAACCAGTAATTGAAAAGTGATATTAGGAGAGAAAAAAAATATATGATTTTATCATTACCCTTCATCTACTATATTATTTAATTAATTTAATACCAATTCACACATTAAAGAAACCACTATTGTTGTTTATCATTAAAAATCAAATCACATATAGCATCGAAAAATAGTATGTCATTCTATATTTTTTCACTTAATACAAGACTCAAATTACTTTTTTTAGTTCCATACTTAATATCAAATATAATCAACAACAAATAATAAAAAAATTTGCAATTGAAACATTACAAAGAGCAAATTTTAACATCATAAATATCCTTGTCAACATATTAAAATTAGCTGTGGAGATTTTTATAGTATTAAACTTAGCTCTTTTCAATGTTTTGGTTGCATTTTTTTGATTATTTGTTATTGATGATGTTTGACAATGGATCTATAATTGAAAGAATAATTTGGACCTTATATTAAGTGACATATATAGAATATATACTATTTTTTGATACTATATGTGATTTGATCCTTGATGAGAAACAACAAATTCTAGTGTTTTCCTTTAATGTGTAGGCTAGTATTAGATCAACTAAATAATATAGTAGATAAGAGGCAATGATGGAATCCTATAGCTTGTTTCTCCTAATATCATTTTTTTGTTATTGGTTGGGTTTAGATGTTACAAGATAATAAATCTCAAAGGAGATTAATGTAATTTTTGAAATTTAAAGGGAGACCAGTAAAATAGTCAGAAACCTCAGGGGTAGTTTCTGAAATTATCCCTTTTCTCTTAGAAACTAATTACAGTTATTAAAAAAAAAAAAAACACGTAAGGTACATATGAAATTCATGCAACAAACACATAATGGTTTTTTTTTTTTTGCCCCCTTCCCCTTAAAAAAAAAAAAGAGAAGTAAAACGAGATGAGAAAACTTGTATTCCATGCTATCAGTTTTTTTAATCAACTAGCAACATTTAGACTAATCCTTCTCTAACCTACACTAGAGGAGGGTTCAATTGAGTCAAGCCAAATCATATTGAGTTTTTTTTTTCACTATCCATATTTGGTTAGTTAACACATATACTTAAGTTTCTTTTTTCTTTTTTCTTTTTTCATAGCCAAGCCAAACCATGAAACTATAGTTACAATTACAAAAAAAATATTTACTTAAGCTTAGTTTACCAGTTCACTTGTATACCGTATTATCTATGCTACGGATTTTAAACATTACTGGTTACCTTAGACGTAATTAAATTATATTTGAGGAGGTTTTTTTATTAAAATTTATTAACTATTACAGGAAAGACTTTAATCTGATGGCTAAGTTGGAGATCTCAGGATTCAAATCTCTCTTTTTTTCCTCACTTCTTAAATCCCAACCTACCCTTGTCTAAAGAAAAAAAAAAAAAAGGAATAAAGTAGGACCTCTAAAGACTGACCACCCTCTATTGTTATTTTTCTAGCGTATTGAAAGACTGACCTCTATTGTTTGGATTGCTGTTTTCCGTCAAAAAATTATGTCGTTTTCCGTGATCACATTTACCTATTACCTTTTTCCCTCACATACATCAAATCGCTATAGTAATTTTTCCATGAAAAATCATGAAAAATGCAATCCAAACACAAGGCAATTAATCAAATAATATGAACATTGAATGTGTTTAAGTGTGTTTGGATAGCCAAATAATGGCCAGAAATTTTTTGCTTACATCACAAATACAATTTCATATACACCTTTTTATCTTCCCAATTACCTTTTTATCTCACGTACATCACATCACAAAAAGTGCTACAGTAATTATTTCACATATTTCAATTACCTTTGCACGATAGTAACTTTTGTAAGCTTGGACCAATTGATTCTTATAATTCAACATAATTGATTAAATCGCAATTTTGAATTCTAATCTCAAATTTTTTTATTCTATTGATGCCGTGGAGTTTGGAAGTTTTTCAAGTCATATATTGGCACATGCCAAATAAATACCCATTCTACTTGCGCCTATGTTCTATATTCCTTCTGACAGAATTTTCTAAAATATTTTAGAGATCCAAAAAGGGGAAAAAATTAAACAAAAAGTCAATCAAATGCCCCAAAAAAGAAAACAAAAATGAAGGAATTTGACACAAAAAAAAAGTGCCCCAAAAGGAGAAAAAATAAAGAAAACGAAAAAAATCATGTATACAATTCCTGGTACGAGTCTGCCTCAAAAATATACTGTATAAGTCAATCAAAAACCTCAACCCCAAAGGTCAAAACCCTTAAACCCTACGCTATTAATTCCAAACTCTGATAGGAATTCCTCCCCTTCTCTCCTCATCATCGAACAATTCCCACGGCGAACATGTATTCACCGCCGGAAAACCGAACCGACAGCAAAACTCGTCAGTATAATCCCTACCAAGACCTCGAAAGCTACAGCCATCTGCAGCCGCTTAAAACCCTTTACGATCTCCCAACTTCCCCTGAATTCCTCTGCTACGAAGATGCCCTCAAGAAGCGTCGATCAACCACGGAGAATATCACGTTCTACACGGGTACATCCTACTTGCTCGGGGCCGTCACCGGCGGAATCACCGGAACGTTTTCAGGCCTCAGGGCAGCCGAAGCAGGGGAGTCTTTGAAGGTTAGGATGAGTCGGGTTCTCAGCTCCGGCGGCCACTCCGGCCGGAAATTCGGGAACAATATGGGTATTTTGGGGCTGATTTTTGCTGGGCTTGACAGTGTGGTTTATAATCTTAGAGGGGAAGTTGATGATGGTTTGAACCCTGTTTTGGCTGGGCTTGGTACTGGGGTCCTTTTTAAGGCCGCTGCCGGACCCAGATCGGCTGCTGTCGCCGGAGCACTTGGTGGCTTGGCCGCTGGTGCGGCTATTCTTGGGAGGAATGTGATGAAGAGATCTATGCCGAATCTACCGATTTGACCCTTGATTCATCCTCGTTGAGGGTACAGTTGGGGTTTCAGACTTAGGTTTTTGGGATTTCCGTTAGGCTATTCTCTTTATTTATTTATTTTTTAATTTTGTAAATGTAATTTAGTCTGTTGACTTGTCTGAGGCTATGGATGAAGGTTTGCTGCTGCGTTGTTTTCTTTTCTCTTTGGAAGTTTAGCTAAAATCTATTCTAGAAATTAAGGGTGGATATCGATATTTTTTGTTGCTTTTATGGGATCATATGTGATTTATTGATTTATCTAATGGAGCAGATGCTAAAGATTTTTAACTGACCTCATATAATGCACCAAGGCTCGCATCCCTGTTGAGTGCGAGCCAGGCTTTTGAGTTCACCGGGAAGACTTTTCGAAGGAAAAGAAAAGGATAAAAAAGTAATTGAAAAAATAATCATAGATGTTGAATTTAAATTTATACGCTAACGAGTTTAAATCATATGTCATAGAACATGAATTTAAATTAAAAACTCAAATTATACTGACATACATCAAAACTTGTTGTTAGCGTAAAAAAAATAACTACACTATCAATGCATCAAAAATTAATCTTTTAATCTTTAATTTATTGGGTGAAGTGTTTTTCCGGTGAATCTCTTGGCTTCGCCTTGCTCCATGCTTAAGTTAGCTTTGGAGGAAAAGGAGAACCTTATGATTAGAGTAAAAAAATGAGATGGTAGGGGGAATTGTAGTTTATTCCCAATGAATCCTTGCCCTAGGAAAGACGAAGTACTTATACCTTGCATGAGTGGGTCACGGTGTGCCATGCATACTTCAAGATTATGTCTACGACCTCCACGTTGAGGTCATTAGGCAGTCATTAAAATCCGATTCGGAGCTCGGTTCGAAAAGGTGATTGATCATCGATTTAACTGTGGATTGGATAATTCAACCGGGGCTTGCACAGTAACTATATTATGTAATATAATAATATATTTTAAATTATAAAAATAATAAAAATTTTAAATTGATAGTTCAATCAGCGGTTCAATTGACAGTTTTTTTTTTATTCATCGGTTGAACCACTAAATTATTAACTGATCAACAAATTTATTATTTGATCGATCTAATTAGTAATCCATTTCAATCCTATGCCTAGTTTACTAGGTTGATCGATTCAATTACCGAACAAGGCCGGATCGGATTTTATACCTATGTCATTAGGTGATGTGGTGCATGGAACCTATTCAACAGTTAAATTTTTATTTTGATGGCTCGTTGAGTTACTTCACCTCTTGATACTTGAAGGACACTAAAGATGGCAATGCCGCACCGCCGGGGTAGAAATGGCGTGGGGGATGGGGCAGGGCGGGGGTGGGGGTGGGGAAACATACACCCGCCTCATCCCCGCATGTAACATATATATATATATATATTTATATATATAATACAATCCTAAATTTCTTAAAGTTGCACCCTTACTTACAAGTACAACACTAGTCAGTGTCAATGGCAGCCGCAACAACTGAAGAAATTTCTTGGACTATTGTTGATTTGTTTCTAACGCCCTCCTCCCAAAGACTAAGCTATCCAATTCCAACCTGTTTTGCTCCTAATCCTTTTTTATTTCGATCGGTTCCCTTCCTCCGCACTGAATGTAACTTGACTTGTTATGCTTTATTTCATCTTGACAGCTTTTTAATCTTATTTAACATTGTTTACAATTGTATTATTGTAAATCAACATTTATGATAAGTTGATTTCTTCCCCCGCAGGTAGAGGTGGGCACAGGTCGGGTACCCGCCCCTAACATGATTTGGCTGACCCGACCCTAATATATCGGATCAATTATTTTGCAACTCTAACCCGCTCCTAATGTCTTCGGGTACCCGCTATTTGGATATCCGAAAAAAGGGACGGGTCATAGGGTACCCGCTCCTGACCCGCCACTAAAAAAAACTATTTTTCAATAAAAAAACTATTTTCCACTTAATATCAACATGTTTTTCAATAAAAACAAACATGATTTTCCAATTAATATTGGTAGAGATATTGTAATTAAAGTCCATACATCACCATTCTCACACAGTTCATCCAACAATCAAATCGATCTCATAAATTTAGTACATATTAGAATTATAATATCTAATGGACAAAACGAAGTTTCATAATAATTTTAAGTACATCACCATTTTCACACATTTCATCCTTCTACAACACAACAAACACAAGGATAATAAGTATTTGGCAACTTCCCCAACTTCCTTAAGGATGTTATGATACAAGACTGCATCCCAAATAAGTCGATTGTGAAATCAAGTTCGGAAAAGAATTGAATAGAACTAATTATTTTTGGAAAAAATATAACAAAAAATAACCTGAAAAAATCTTCCCCAACTTTTTTACATCTTTGGAATAGACCTTATGGTATTAAAGGTGATGAAAAAGAAAAATAATTTCTTACACTAATAAAAGAGACATAATTGCAATAAAATAAATCAAATAAATAAATAAGTGAAAGACACAAATGTTTTAATTATCTAGCTAACAGAAAATTGAAACTCCAAACACAAATCTTTGATTGGATTGATGCAAAATTTGCAGGCAAGATCGATGGAGATAGAATAAAAATAAAAAGGATGAAAGGGATGAACAATTTTTATAACAGAATTTCACAAATTTTTTTTTCATTTTGTTCATTTGGTTCATGCTTGACCGAGAATATTTGCTTTCTTCAAATAAGATGAGTAGAGGTGGATCATATAGGATTAGAATATGAGGCAGTGAGTCATTTCACTTGCACTTAGAATTAAAAATTATAAAGTTATAAAATGATCCCTAATTTTTTAATATTTATAAAATATACCCTGCGGGTCGGGTATCCTACAAAGTGATAAAATGATACCTAATTTTTTAATATTTATAAAATATACCCTGCGGGTCGGGTACTCGCGGATTTTTATTTTTCTGATCCGTATCCGTATCCGATTTTTGCAGGTACCAGACCCTTATCTGCCCCGCTAAGAAAAATCGGATCGAATATCTTATTTTTCGGATCGGATCAGATCGGGTTTATCAGGTTTTCGGATCAACGGATTTTTGGCCCAACCCTACCCGCCGGGGACCGTGGGAGAAACGGGGCAGGGGCAGGGGCGGGGTGGGGGGCAGGGGCGAGGGATGGGACGGGGGACGGGAGGAGTTGTTTGACAATGGGGCGGGGAGTGGGGGAATGATCCCCCGCCCCATTGCCACCCCTAAAGGACACCCGTGAGTCGAATATCTCACTAGGTGTGACCTGTCCTTTTTCAATTTTGTCCTTCTTCAGTGGTATTAAAAGAATTTTCCAAATAATAATGTATCCAAACAAACTAATTTCAAATTTTGGTTCTCATTGGACAAGTTTGGGATGGATTGAGTTGGTACTCAATTCGTAGTAAAAATATTTCTGGTAAACAGGTCGAATTTTATTATGATGTTGCATTGTATTCTGCTCCTTTTGACTTGTGATGACTGAAGTTTTGTTTGTAAATGATTAGACGAGTTCTTTACTTCCTTTTTTTTGGGGTGCAATTACACCTTGTGCAATTTTTTCTTTCAATTATTGCTAAAAGAATTAGAGATGAGAAGCTACTAAACAACATGTTCGATTAAGATAAGATATGGAGGAAATAAATTGTTATAAATAATTCATGAAGCAAACTAAACCCAAAAAACGATGAAATAAAGTTTGAAACTGATTGTTGTTCCACGGAGAATTAAGAAACAGGGCTTGATGCACCTATAATTACAGAGCTCCCAATGATCTGTATGTATCCAGTAAAATGAAAGGAAGCTGTTCAAGTTCTAAGGACTTTACACGTTGCCAAGGTTCATGGTCAAGCACTTTGGGGCAGCAAAGTGCAGATTCTTGATTGAAATTAAATGACCTGTTCAGAATTAGATGGTGAAATAGGGTACCATGTCTTTACGGTGGCAACTATCGTAGACAATTTGAACACTTTGCCTACGATGTCAGTGGTCTTGGGCCTCTTGGCTCATTTTTGTCCTCTTGCTTGGAATGTTGTCACGCTTGGGAATTAGGCGGCTACGGTTGACTTTCCATGCATTTAAAATAGGTATTATACTTCTTCAAAATTTTGGTATATACCTAGTTGCATGCAAGTTGGACGGGGTAGGGATGGGTTGAATCGTATGGGAGAAGAATACGTAAGTATGGGATATCGAATTCGAAACTTTTCATTTATATTTAGAAGGGGGATGAAAGATAGGTTGGATGGTATAAAAGAAAGGAATGTAAATGTGAGATCCTGGATTCGAGATCTCACACTTACACTTAATAAAAAGGTGGGGAAGGAAGGAAGGAAAGAATGGATGACTTGGGTAATACGGGAATAAAGAATATATGTTAGAGATCTCGAATTTGAAATCTCCAACTAATACTAAAAAACTTTTTTAAAAAAAAGTTACAAAATTTTCTATCAATAAAGTTATGTAAGCGTACGTTATGTCATGTAAAAATTATAACCAAAAAAAGCTACAAAATTTTCTATCAAAAAAATTATGTAAACGTACACTATATCGTGTAAAAATTATAACAAGTGCACAACTGCACAGCTGCAGTGAACCTGTCCAAAGTCTGTTGTACTGCGGCATTCTATCTTGTTTATCTACTAGAATATTGGAATTCAGTAAACACATACAAGCAGAATGCGTATACACATATGATGTGTGTGATGGCTCAAAATAGAAGCACTATTTACATTCCGTCATCAAATTCAATAAATTCACAGGAAAATCAAACAGAAACACAAAGAGATGTTTTGTTCTAGTGAAAATAGAACTAAAGAATAAGCCATTTTGCTCATCAACGTAATTGCATATGATAAATGCAATTATTTGAACATATCAGGGACCATAACGCATTATTTTATTTTTGAAGGACTACAAAGGGATTATGTATAGATGTAGGAGCCACTCTTTTCCTGCTTTTAAAGACCTGGTTTTATTTATTTATTTATTTTGAATACTTGCACAGAGATTTCTTTCGCTTGTCATTCATACGAGCAGAATAGAGTACATAAATAGGATCCAACCTCAATGCAACCCGTGAAAGCCTTTCAATTTTTTTTTTAATCACAAACAAATTTCTTCAATTCTCACTGATCATATGAGCAGAATTGAACATGCAAGGA